TGGTGATGACTACCTGCCTTCCTCTAGTCTTACACTGTTAAATTAGGGACAGCTAACGCAGATAGCTGTCGTGTAGCTTTGCGCGAAATTCAAAAACAAACAAACTTAGCTATATAAGCTTAGTTATATCATTCAAATAAAGTTTTAAACACAGCCTAATACATATTTTGATGTCATTATTGTTTTTATGTGGAAATGCAAAGGCATCTTTATTTTCCAAATAAAACAAAACCTTAAAAGAAAAAGAATGATGTATCCACCATGCTTAAAGCTTAATAGTTTTAGGAAAGTCTTATTTTTATCACACATAAACGAATGAGTTACGCTTCTATTAACATATATATTTATCATGATATTATTTTATAATCGATCTAAATTTTTAACTCATTTCATTATAGCATTTTTCAAGCATTTTGAATCATTTAAATAACTGTTTTTGTCAATTTGAAAGATACGTCCATATCAAGATAAAAGAGAAAATGTTTCCATATGAAATAAATATATCACTTACTTCAGAAAACTTCCGCTCCTTTAAATCAAACCTTAATATTTGTTGCCTCTAATAATGCAGAAAAATAACAAAAGAACATACTGATTTCACATACTAAAAAACATACCATGATCAGTGATAAAGGTGAATTTTTTCCCCGGGTACCACCATGGCATGCACATTTCAGAAAGCACTTTGGTCTAGTCTCTTTGTTTATTACATAAGTATTCAGAACCTGTATGAGTCTGTAATCAAAGAAATTCATAATATTCTGGTTTTGCAATGTATATAATTACGTCAATTCAACAGTATTTTATAAACAACAAGCAAGTTTACGATTACCCGTTCTCAGCCCTGGGAAGATTTACTTGATTATATGCTAACGCGTGATCCCGTCAGCTCGTTGATTATTTGTTGCCCCTATTCACACTTCGCACCACACCTACAGCATGAAACTTAGTTTTTTTTTGTTTTTTTTTGCGTATCCATTCATTTATTGGTCGTCAATTTAAAATCGCTTGCTCAGGTAGACCCAGCCTTCTTTGCGCCGCTGACAATAATATTTATTTCTGGTTATGTTTAAAACAGGTAATCAATACGAGTACTTCACACTTTTGTGTCACTAAGTTAATAAAAAATAGTCGATGAAAGCAAACTCCAAAAACTGAAAGATGCTCCTATCCTCTGATTGTTACAGAATTTTATATAATCAGTAGAAATACTTAAATTGATCGTTTTCGTATAGATTTGTTTATAGTTAAGCGCAAAGCTACGCAAAGGGTTTCTAGCGTTGTAAGTCCTCAGACATGGAGCTGTGCCACTAGGGGTGGGGGGCTTGTCATATAGAAGGGCTTAAACTAATTTTACTTTGCTCCATAGTTTTTAATTTTCATATGTACAGTCAACAAATTTGCTATTGTCAGTTTAAAACAGTGAATCATACTCCCAAGTAAGTCATTCAAGTAAACTTTATATATATTTTCTTTTTGTCCAGTGTTAAAACATATGTTAAAAGCATTTTAAAACAGTTTATGATTTTCTTTTTCGTCATATAAAATGACTGAAGTATCTAAAGTCAATATAATATTTAAGTACCTAATGAAATCTATTTTTAACTCATGAAATTGGGAAAGAACATTGCGTTACTTTGCACATATACCAATTTTACAAAGCGGACTGATATATTGTTTTATGTGATGCGGTTTTCAGGGTCAATACAGTGTTTATCTTGTAAGCGTTATGTTTAAAATGACATTTTTAGTGTATGGAAAAATTATTAATTGTAACTAATAGCCACTCAAACTGCAATCTGCGGATCGCGAGTTCGTAAAACGCAACCCAAAATTTGACGGTGGGTGGTGTTGACTAGCTGCCTTCCCTCTAGTCTATCACTTCAAAATGAGGTGCAGATAGCCCTCGAGGAGCTTTATGCGAAATTCTACAAACAAACACCAATATCAATTTGAATGTTTAAAGAAAGAATACTTCTTATTTGTCATTCACAGACTCGTTCCAATGTGTCGAATTCAATAATAGTAAAGAACTATAAGAAGATGTATCCTCAGAATATACGGAAGTTACGTTTTACCAGAGAGAGTTCTTCTACGAACATGGTGAACTTGCTTATAAAGCAATTTATAAAAAGTGGTATTAACTTTTAATGCTTAAAGAATGCTAATGAAATTCATGTGTTATATAAAGATTTTATTGCTATATTTCAAAAGATTTTAGATAGATCAACTCATCTTAATAAAGGTGCTAAACCAAACTTTTACAACCAGTAATTTTTTTTTAAACATTAAGTTCCATTTTTAATCCCTTCACACGAACAGTATTTTGTGAATATATATACTTTTAGTGTATTTTATTTTTCCTCTCTCTATTAATTCTAGTTACAGTGTTTTTTTAGTTTGTTTGTTTGTCGAATTTCGCGTAAAGCTACTCGGAATCGCTTATTTGGAAGTGGTAGACTAGAGAGAATTGAGTTTGTTAATACTATTCACCGCCAACTTTTGGGCTACTCTTTTACCAACAAAAAGTAGAATTTACCGTCACAAACCACTGATAGGGAAGTATGCTTGGTGATGGTATTCGAACATACGAGCGGAAAATTGAGCGTCCTAATCAGCAGACCGTCCCAAGACACAGTTTTAGCTTTTTATATTTTGTTTTTCGATGTAATTAATGATGCACTCGTCAATACACATCGCCCCCCAGTGGCACAGCGGTATGTCTGTGGACTTACAACGCTAGAAACCGGGTTTCGATACCCATGGTGGGCAGAGCACAGATAGCCCATTGTGTAGCTTGTGCTTAATTCCAAACAAACAATACACATCAGCGTTCTAAATTTGTTTCTTAGCAAAAACACATTTTTTCTAAATACCTCCTTAGGAAATTACATCACGACAAATTGTATCACCTCCAAGTTTATAATTTATACTTTAGAATGCAAAATAAAAAAAATTAAAATCTATTTTTGCTTGTGTTTTGGGGACTGATAAAACTTTAGAATTCGTTTTTTGTAAACCTCTTTTTTTGTAAGTAACATTCAGAACATTTTTATTAAGCCTATATACCGACAATCTAAAGTTTCAAAGAAATAATCTGTAAAAATGTTTACTTTAAAAGCATTTGATTGAGTTTTGTTTAAAGCTTTGAAGCGATTATTGAAACATTTGAACAGATAAAAAAGTCTATGTTAAAACACTTTTGTTGGATAAAACTAACAAACGGATACTGAGATAATGTTTTTATGAATAATTATACATTTTAATTAAAAGTGCCATTTCAAAATGGCACAAAATACTATATATAAATAATTACATAGTGTTTATAATTGTTTTAGTTTTATTTCTGCTGAAATTTAACTATTAAAATTGATTTGGTGGTGTTCCAGAGTCAATGGTTCAGAATCTTAAGGACACCTTGAGGAATGTGAGAGGTAGATGGGTAAAGACGTCATGCTTATTCCTATGGTTATCAGCTGTGGGATGGCTTCTCTTTACCTTTACCAGAACAATAAAACTTCAAGAGTTCCAGAACCTTCCAAATACAGTGGAGTACACCATAGAGCTGAAGAAATACCAAAGCATTGCCCACTTCCCTCGAGGAGTCTTGTCACTTCCCGGCCCAAGGGAACTTCTTCATCTCAAGGATTTCAAGTTCTACAATAGTAAACTTAATGTGTGTAAGAGTAAAAACTCGCTTGTTCTCGCACTAGTCCACACGGCTCCTAATCATTTTGTACATCGGAAAATAATTCGAAGTACGTGGGGTTCGGTACATCACTTTCGAAATTTAACGTTTAATGTTGCTTTCCTTCTTGGCCAAACTAACAGAAGACTACAGTCGAGAATTAACCAAGAAATGAAACAGCACTGTGATATTATTCAGGGTTCCTTCGTGGATTCATATAGAAATTTGTCTTACAAACACATGATGGGCTACAAGTGGGCCATGGAGTTTTGTCCGAACGCCATAATGATATTCAAAGTAGATGATGATGTATATGTTGACAGTTTCCAGATTTTAAACTTCCTCTATTCTACTTTCGGTTTGAAACCCTTCAATATATTAGCTTGTTCTGTCATATCCTCCGGCACTTTAACTCACAGGAGCGGAAAGTGGGGTGTCAGTCGAAGTGAATTCAGTTTCGATATGTACCCTGAGTACTGTTCTGGAATGGGGTACTTCGTTTCTTTAGACATTGTCAAAGACATTCTCGCAGCAAGTAGATATGCCCCATTCTTCTGGATTGACGATATATTTGTAACAGGTCTAGTAGCTGAGGTACTGAACTTGAATAGGCTGCCCATCAACGCGCATACTTCAGATAGGCCCGAAGAAATGACCAAATGGTTACGGCAAGGAAAAGGACCAAGTCCATACATGTTAGGATTAATAAGTCCACATAACGGAATGGAAATTCTTGCAGCTTTATGGAATAAAACAACAATTAGGGCGAATAACTACACTGGGAATCTTTATATTAAAAACAATCCTAAGTATTTGTGTTGATTGCACAAAAGGTTGTCAGTATGGTGATAAATTATATGATAAAATATGAGAATACCTTTACATAGGATACGAATAATTGTGAGAAAAACAACAACTTCAATTTAAAGCTATTCACCAAAATTTTCCGTGTATCATGTAATTTTATACATGTATAAATCCACTATGTAGATTTGTAACATAAACCGTTTTGAAATCTAAGGTTAATTAAACCTGTCGGTTTCACACTACTAGAAAAGTGAAACATTTTTCAAGTAACATTTATACTTCTTATGAAGCTGTGAAAAAGCAAACTTTTTTTTTTGTTTTACAAAACAATATTCATTGGAAGCTTTGACTATACATTATAACAACATGGTTTTTCTTTCTTTTTGGATGATATGCAAATTATGAGTGTGTGGCTCAGAATATTCGAGGCCATTTTTTATGTCTAGTGCTTGCTTACTAAGTAAATTAGTACTGTTTTATTGCCTAAACTGTAAAGATAAGTATGATAATTCTTCTGTATGATCAGGGAATAAATTGGATCGGAACGGTCTCGAACGACCTTCCGTCTCTTGAGGATTCAAGCTATTAGCGTTCCTGATTGGAATATACAAGAAGACATAATTTAATATTTAAATATGATCTCAGGGAGTGTGCGTCCTCTGTGTTAACGTACTGTGATCCATTATTTGTGATATTAACTGGGCTTTTTTGCAGTTTGTAGTGGAATGTAAAAATATTTATCTTTGTTTCAACTTCTTTCTCCTCACGTAAGGATTGAGCAACGCTTGGGAAACTAATCCCATATAATATATATATAAAAACGGATGGTTGAAAATAAGAGATAAATTAAGCTTTTAACTTTCTTTCTCTCACAATCAATTGAATACCCTTATGTCAGAAAACCTTCCCAGTTGGTGTTAATGATACTGTTTAATACATCCAACCAAATATTTCACGAAAAAATTCACTGATTCCAACGAAATTATTAGATACACAATATGCTTTTTTTAAAGAAAATAAAACTATATTGTTGCGAAGACTTTCGTTTATTATTGTTGTTCTGTAGCTTTTTTAACGTTAATTATGATAAACAAAAACTATTATAACAAGAAACAAATATTAATTCTACTCTCGTTAGCTAACCATTTTTTTGCTCTAGCTAAAATATTCGGTCACAAAAGTTACATATTTATAAAAAACCACTTGGACAGGACAGAGTCTGACAGAGTAACGAATCGAACTGTTTGAAAACAACGTGACTTTATGAATAAAAGTACGTAATACACGTAAGGGCGCACCTGCATCTTACAGTAGCGGCATAAAAATCTACTTCACATATAAATAAAAATGGAACCAAGGTCAACTAGACACGTGGCCCACTGGTCCGAGGTCAACAAGACGAGTTATAAAGTTACTTACTGTCATGGAATTGTTGAGGTTTCAGTTAGCATTACTGGAACATATATCAAATATCTAAGAAAGAACAATACATAGGAAGTCCCATACATAATGATGTAAGATAGAGAACAGTTGGATAGACTGATTTTTAGAAACAATTTTGTTAATTTAAATACTGCTATATTTATAGTTTAACAATGATCTTTATGCTCTGTTTCCTGCTAACCGTTTATTTTTTTCTTACTAGCAGCGACATGCAAAACATTTGCGGTAGTTTTCATACTCTTCGCTTGAATTTTCCATGGCATTTTCGCTACGCTTTCTTGCAGGCATTATGTGTTAGATCGATAAATATTTTACGCGGTTAGGCAAACAAATTCACGTAGTCGTAAATTTATTTAATAAAACTACACGTAAAGTAAACAATAAAGTGTAGTAATAGTATTTATAAGAGTGTACAGAGTATGAAACAGTTATGACCGTTCAATGTATGACACTGTTTTGCAAGTTGAAACAACGAAACTCACAAAAACGAAAAACAAGACTTGTACTAAAGTAAAATGTAGCTAAAAATTGTTTATAGCAGTCTAGGAAAGGAACCAAAACTACATTATTGCAAAGTAAATTACATGTAAAGTTGTAATGAAGGCAAACTTAGCTGAATATGCAGAAACGTCTGAATGCGTGTTCACAATGTAATGAGCTTATGATTTTGAATGAACTGCGCCTGCGTATTTTAGACGTAAAAAAGTCGATAAAGCCCATAGCAACTGTGTGTCTGTGTGTTGTTTTGTTATAGCAAAGCCACATCAGGGTACCTGTGGTGTCTAACGAGGAGAATCGAACCCTGATTTTAGCATTGTAAATCCGAAGACTTACCATTGTCTCATCGTGTGACAGCAGTTGCATTTAGTGTAATGTTCATTTTTTAGGAAATTACTTTCGGGTTAAGTGATGTTTATGTGAATTACTTTGCAAATAAAAAAATCGAAGCTAGTCGTCATGTGATGGCAACGACATTGTGCAACCGTGTAGCATAATCGTTGCATTAATCAAAAAAAAGGTAAGGTGATTCTGAATAGAAAAGCCAGTATGCAATCCAGACTCCTCGGACGATATGAGACTTGTAGCATTTGATCGTGAAATTTGCGAGAACAGTTCCGGACAGACAAGGTCTGACATTTCCAGGTGGTTATGTCGCTCGACTCGCAGTTTGAGGGTCGCGGGTTCGAATTCCCCCTCCCACCAAATATGCTCGCCCTTTCAGCCGTGGTGGCGTTATAGTGTGACGGTCAATCCCATTATTCGTTGATAAAAGAGTAGCCCAAGAGTTGGAGGTGGGTGGTGATGACTAGCTGCCTTCCCTCTAGTCTTTCACTGCTAAATTAGGGACGGCTAGCGCAGATAGCCCTCGTATAGCTATGCGCGAAATTCAACACAAACCAAACCAAAACCGGACAGACAAAGGCAAGTGTATTAATTATTTATATAGCTTCTTCTACTAACATCTTCTAGGTATAATAAGTTATATTTTATTCTTTAAATCAGCTTCTAACACTCCACAATTACTGTATCAGTCATTTAAAAACGAGAATTATCGTGACAAATACGCTTACAACGTAAACGTTTTTCAGTGTTCCATCACAAACACTTTTAATTAGAATTTTTCAGAATAATTTAATCTTAGAGCACTGACTTATTAAATTAACATTTGAAACGGTCAAACACGTTATCATTTACCTCAAAACAAACCATTTTAGCTTTGGGTTATTTTAAGCGACAAACATCTCCATTTTTGAAGAAGAAAAAAGCTTCTCCCCGATGGTTCAGTGATAAGCCTGAAGGCTAAAATGCTCAAAATGATGTTTCAATATGCGCGGTGAGCACAGTACAGATAGCACATGGTGTATTTGCTTGTTTGTAGTATAAGCACAAAGCTACACAATGGGCTATCTGTGCTCTGCCCACCACGGGTATCGAAACCTTTTAACAAATACATTCATACATTTTATTTTAAGTATGGTAGAAGTTTTGTTGCTAAAAGTGGCATTCAGGGCGTTTCAGTAACAGCCTCTCATAACTTAGACTTGATACTTCTGTTACAGTCTTGAATTGTTTTAGAGTGGTTTTTAGTTACAAGCTACACTAACTAAATAGTTGGCAAACAATTATTTTGCAAAGCCACTAGCCACTAGTTAAGGCTGTAATTGAGAGCTTATTGGAGATAATTTCCCCGTGATGAATATCATGTTTAAGTTAATCCGATCCACCGATTAGATCCCAAACATGATAAGTTGATGGAGGTACAAAGTGTGTTTTGCAGATCTAACAATTACTATCCTAGAATCTAGCTTAAAGCCAACACCATTATTTCTTGTGGAAATTACGTAAAATTGATATACGTAGATAATGTATTTCCAAACGTACTAAAAAAAAGCACCCATTCAACTAATAATTGACCAAGAGAGTAGGATTAGAAACACATATTCACATTAGTGGCACTTCATACACATATGGGATAAAATTCACATATTTTATATTAGTGGCACTTATTTACTCGACTAGGATAAAATTCATACACGTACACATTAATGGCACTTCTTACACATCATGGACAAAATCAATACAATGTCACGATAACAGTCTGTATGTCAATCTCTCAATGGGCCAGTTGGATTTGAACAGCTTGAGCTGGTTTAAAATGAAACTGCATAACGTCCCCCCACCCCCCTATCTCACACACAGAAGTCCTAGAGAAGAAGTAATAACCACGGTCTTTCTTAGACAATGACCAATATAGTTGTTTGAAAATGAACTAGCCATAAAAATGATGGTCACTAGTTCAGTTAATAAACTAGATATACTTCTGCAGGTTCCCCGAAAGTGTTCTGTTTCAATAGTGCATAATTCTTCTCGTAATTAATGGCATGCGCACGTTTTACTAACGTCACGACAGTACAAATTGCAATCTTAAGCGTTCCATACGTGACATCATTTTAATGTCTACTGATTGACTGACAGACAACACACTACTGTATTGTGGTGTGAGTGGTTAAAATAGATGACTGCTCCAGGCGGCCTTCGGCCCCTTTCGGGGAAATAAGATCGATGGCCTGATTGCGAAATCCACTAAATACCATGACAACAGTTTGATGTATCACCTTTTCTCAAGAAGCATGATAAAACAAACATTCACAGTTTAGTGAATCCTTGATGTTTAAAAACAATCAGATATACAATCACAGTTTAAAAAAGCTGGCAAACATGTTACTAACGACGTATAACAATAATTAAGCAAAAACCTTTTAGTTTCCTGTCTTCAAACAGCAAAGATATTAGACGTCAAAATAATCCGGTCAGCAATGCGTTATTAATGATTGCGTTCAAATTAAAGTTCTCAAAATATTTCAACAATTTTATCTGTTCGAGGTGAATCAAGTTACTTAATACTTTACCTGACAACTTTAATTAATTTCGTGGCTCAAGTTGCGTTGCGCTAGTAACATAAACATAACTATAACCTATAACTATGTGTGTTTAAAAGGAGACAGAATCGTTCTTTAAAAAGTATTATGTCATACTCGTTTATAGAAAATTAGACGTCTCTTTAGCTGACA